TCTGGGCGCCGTGCGAGATATAGAAGAGGCGCCAGCCGTGAAGCCCTACAACCCCGCTAAAGACCCAAACACATCCAAGCTCGTCCACCGACACAACCCGCAATACCCGACAGCGGCCTCTGTGGCCAACTGGCTCAACTCGAAGGAGGTCCTGCGTGGCAAGACTGTACGGGAAGACGATATGGAGCAACTTTTGGAGATGATGGTTCTCGACGACCGGCTTGAGAAGATTTCCGGTACAAACTACCGGACCGTCTTACGCGCCACCGACACCAAGGTCTACAACGGCTTTGTGGATGCGCCTTGCGGTAATTGCCCTGTTTTCGATCTTTGCGGAAACGAGGGTGAGATTTCAGCAAGGACATGCGTTTACTTTGGTCAATGGCTGGAGACCTCGTCCGAAGAAATTTAGATTGCCCGGAACGCAAAAGGCTATCCATGTCTTCGACGGAAGAGTTCAGTTGTTCAGAGAAAATTATGGAGAATTTTAACATTAGCATAGCGCGGAGTTTGGGGTGTCAGCATTTACATGGACGATCGAAAAGGTATACCCATTATATTTCAACAAATTCCCATCATCCTTCTCCTTTAACGTTCTCTTAAAAGATTGATGTAGTTCCAGTACCGTCGAAGCCCTGGAGTGCCTCGCAACAATGCATGGGGCTTTGAAACTGGTTATTGGAATGCTCTACTAGCCTGCCGTGTAAAGTCCCCGAGATCACCAAAATCGCTCTCGGAGACATACGTGGGCACAGCTGACATCGACTGTGGAGACTTTTCTCTATACGCCCGATCGTATACGCTCACTGACATTGTCTCCGAGCAAGAGGGTTTGCAATGTAGTGCTGCCAGGCGATGCTCAGCCATCGTATATATGAGGGATGCCGGCCCTCATGTTAATCGCATCACACACAGCACACCATATCAGATCCAACTCACATCCCGATATCCAGCTCATCTCAAATGACCCTTCCTACCTCTCGATACACAATGGCAAGTTTCCTCGACGCTGAATCCGCGCACAAGTACAAGAATGCCGAAAAGGCGACTCGTCCTTACGTCAAAACCATCGTCCAACAATCAGGAATAGCTGCCTATCTCGAAACTGGAGCTGAAGCCAATATACTCGATTTCGCATGTGGAACGGGAGTTGTTGCACAGGAAATCTACGATACAGTACCAAAAGAGAAGTGGGAACAGCTGAAAGTGCTGGGCACTGACATTAGTGCTCCGATGTTGGAACATTTGAGAGCGCGAGGAGAGACGCAGGGATGGAAGAAACTGGATACGAAGATTGTGGATGGGAATGTGAGTTATCCGTGTCTGCGGACGCTCCAGCACTGGGTTGATACTAATGCTTTCTTCCAGACAGACATAACCCAAGCTCTCCCCAAGGCATCATACACACATGTATTCGTCTCCTTCGCTATATCCATGCTCCCCGCACAGATACTCACGCATCTTTGCTCACTGTTGCGCCCAGGCGGATACATAGCAGTTGCAACGTGGTCAAGCATGTCATGGGATAGCCTTCTCACTCGCAGCATCGCTCTCACGAACGCGCCACAGCCTTACTCGCCCTCGCGTGAGGAACTGCGAGAAAAGTTCTGCGGACTTTGGGCTGACGAGTCATACTTGGCACAGCAGTTTGAAGCAGAGGGCTTGGGAAGAGTAGGGACTTTTAAGGAGAGGAAAGCTGTGCGCGTTGGGGCGCCAGATGTTTTCGTAGCGACTATGCAGTTTCCGCTGCAATATGTAAGGAGTACATGGTGGCAGGGCGAGCGAGAGGGAATCTTAGAAGATCTGAATGGTGCTATGAAAAGTATCGTACAGAAAGAGGTTGGAGAGGATGGGGAAGTGGAACTGGAGTTTGATGGTGTTGTTGGGTGGGGGTGGAAGAGTGGTTAAGGGTCCATCTAGCTGTGCAGCGCGATGTAGTTTCCATTTATGACATCTTCAAACGAAACCATCTTCTTTACCCTTGAGTATTTAACAAACCCTCCCGGCAGCAAGGATTATGTCAGTGTCGTTCAGCGGTCATGCCTCACTTCCAGATGATGCTATTCCTAGCGTCGAGGCGCACGTCCCCGCAAGTGTTCCACCCCAATGTCGATCAGCCGGCGCGACATCTCGTGGCCTCCCAACAGAGTGACCGACGATAGATTGACTCGACACCCAGCGCCATGTCCCCTTGAGACACCCCCGACACTCCTTTAGTCCGCCTACAACATTCAACTCTCGCATTAGAGCGTCTACCGCATTTCACCCACGAACATGTCCGGCGCTCGTCCACTCCTCTCCGCACGCGCGTCCTCGGACATCAGCGGAGAGCGCGACATAGCAGAAGATGAAGCCCTGCTCACAGGCCGCCCAACAGCACACACGGAGAAGGACGGACCACGATCATGGAAGTTCTGGAGAGAAATAGGTCTATTTGTCTGGGCTGTCATCGCAACCGCGGCCGTCATCGTGCTCGCCGTCATCTTCCAGAAGGCCGGTTCCGACTCCAAGGCTTCACATGCGAACGGGAAGAGGAACCTGATCTTCATGGTGTCTGATGGCATGGGCCCTACCTCGCTGTCGCTCACAAGATCGTTCATGCAGTTCCAGAACGGCGCACCCTGGAGCGAGCAGCTCGTTATCGATCAACACCTTATCGGACAGTCGCGAACACGATCCTCTTCCTCTCTCATTACCGACTCGGCGGCAGGCGCGACTGCGTTCTCGTGTGCGCAGAAGAGCTACAACGGTGCCATCTCCGTAACACCCGACCACGAGCCATGCGGCACAGTGCTAGAAGCGGCTAAGAAGGCAGGATATATGACTGGCCTCGTTGTGACCACGAGGATCACGGATGCGACACCGGCATGCTTCGCCGCCCACGTCAACATGCGATCGGAAGAAGACCGCATCGCAGAACAGATGGTCGGAGACTACCCGCTTGGGCGCGTCGTGGACTTGATGTTTGGAGGTGGCCGATGCCACTTCCTACCCAACTCGACGGTCGACTCAAGCTGCCGCGCCGACAACAAGGACATTGTGGAACTGGCCAAGAAGAAAGGATACAAATACGTCGACGACCGCGCGGGTTTTGACATGTTGAAAACAGGAGCGGGCCTAGATCTGCCCATCTTGGGACTCTATGCCGACACAGATATCCCCTACGAGATTGACCGCCGCAACGAGAACGACATATATCCTAGCCTACACGAGATGGCTGAGGTTGCCATGAAGGCGCTCAGCGATGCGACCAGGGATAGCGACAAGGGCTTCTTCCTCATGATTGAAGGATCAAGAATCGACCATGCAGGCCACCACAACGACCCTGCTGCTCAGGTACACGAGGTGCTCGCATACGACAGGACCTTTACCAGCGTACTGGACTTTATCAAGAACGAGAAGACAGAGACAGTCATGGTCTCCACCTCGGACCACGAGACAGGTGGTCTCGCTGTTGCCCGCCGTACGTTCTCCTGCCTCCCGTATGAATAACCACCACTAACATTCACCAGAACTCCACGCATCCTACCCCGAATACCTCTGGTACCCCTCCCCCCTCGCAAACGCCTCCCACTCCGCCGAGCGCCTCGCCCTCGAATACACAAAGTACCTCCTCGCCGGTCCATCTGACGAGGACAAGGCCAACTTTGTCCGGAGTTCCATCACATCCGGCCTCGGCATCTACGACTACACCGACAAAGAAGTCTCTGATCTCGTTGCCGAGCCCATCACTTCCCTATACCAATACGCAGACATGGTCTCCCGGCGTTCGCAAACCGGCTGGTCGACCCACGGCCACAGCGGCGCGGATGTGAATATTTACTCTTCGGACCCCGAGGCTGCCAAGGCGCTGGTGGGTAACCACGAGAACACCGAGGTTGGGGACTTTTTGAGGGATTATCTGGATGTGGATGTTGAGGCTGTTACTAAGGAGCTTAGGGAGAAGGGTACGGGGTTGACGGTGCTGGATGTAAATGGTACGGAGGTTAGCTGGATGGGTAAGATACCTGAGGAGGGGCAGAGACTGGATGGTCAGACGCATCTCGCGAGCTATGGAGGTGATCATAAAAAGAGAGGTGATGGTGGTGTTATTCACGGTGAGGACTGTGGCTGTGGGCATTGATTTTGAAGTCGTTTGGCATGCTTCGGCGTTTTAGGTGCAGAAGAGATACCGGTTGATATAGACTATTTAGCTCTCAGCGTCAAGTTACAGTTCAATTTCAGCTACATCTATCAGCATCCTAGTTGACAAGCAATTCATGGTCATCATGATCATTGGCAAAAGAGAAGATTCAACTACTTTCCGTATACAAATTCACCCTGGATATCTCCCGCGATGCGGCACCACCAATCAAGCCAAGCACTCGAAAAACCCCTCAGTCTGCCAGCTCCATCTACTACCTCTACTCTCCTTCCTCCTGTCACTACCTGCATCACTCTTCTCTTTTCTCATTTTCCTTCTTTGCGTCATACCAACTCCCATCTCCTCCCTGCCAAGCGTACCTTCCCTCCTCTCACCACCTTCCGCGCCAGCTTGCGTGCCAGACTGCGTTCCTGATCTGATGCTCCTCCTCAGCGAACTCCTCGACCTGATATCCACATCTCTCGGTGGGTACTGCCAATCCGCCATACCGATATCGTCGCCAGCATCCCCTTTCCTTCTTCCCTTCAGCTTTTTCTTCCACTTCCCCATTCTCCCACTCTTAACCCTACGTATTGACCCTTCCCCCACACCGCCCCAAAACCTACAAACCAGTGCACATACATGCCACAGAGCCAGAAACATCGCGCCCGTCGCTGATATGCCACCTGCACTGTGTATACCCCAGTTGACGCGATTGCAGCGGTCCTGGAACGAAAGACCCTTTGGAAAGTGCCATAGTGGGTAGTGGTATTCACCGATACAGAAAGCGAGGCCAGGCTTGATGTTGGTTACGTAGACGTAGATGTGGGAGGCGAGAGTTAGGAACATGATTATGTCCCAGAGGCTGAGAAGGAGGTTATGAGCTAGGGGCTTGTAGGCCGGGTGGAGAAAGGGGTGGTATGTGTGTTGAGCCAAGGATGCCGGAGATGACGATGGTGGGTTGTCCGAGTCGCTGGTCCAGTGTGATGATGTGCCATTGCGAAGTGTAGAGTTTCGACTTGATGGCTGACGTTCGATGTCGTGTGCGGGTCTTTGCGAGCGTTCTTCTTCTTGTTCTCCATCTCTTCCTTCGAGACGTCCTAATTGCTGATTCCACCATGTGGAAAAGCGCTGCCGTAACCTTTTCAGCCATGCTTTTGTAGCTCTTCGCCTCCTCCCCACATCTCTCTCCCTCCGTACCGGATGAAACTGATCCGCATACCATCCAATACACAACGAAGCGTGCAGCGCATCCAGCGGTACCTATCACACGTCAATATCTGCATCTGACACTGACGATCACTCCAGCCTTGCCGATCTCGATCCCGATCCCTATTCCCTTATCGTACCAGACTCTCGCTCCGCGAACTCACAAACAGATAGATAAAGACCCAACTAAAAACTGCCGTTCGTTCAAAGAACAGTCGCATGAGTTGCTTCTTCCATTCTGGCGGTACGCCATAGTCTTCGACCGCCTCAGCAGCAGCCGTATGCGAGATGAGTTGCATGATGAGCAGGATCGCGGTACTGAGAATGAGTACATGGATGACGATGTGGGCTTCGAGGACGCGCGGGTGATGGTCGTTAGGTAGAGAAGCGAGGGAGAACGGCGTGAAAAAGGTCGAGGTCATGGCGATACGGGACAGTTGAGAACTGCTTCGGTCTTTGTTGTAGAGGTGATCTGACGAGACGTTGCGATCTTCTGGGATCGCTCGTGCAGGCGCTTGTTCGTGGCTGCGGCCGAGTGCTGGGGATGGAGTGATCTGGAGATGCTGCGGCAGGAGCAACCATGCCAGCTAGCTGCTAAGCACCAACGGCGACGTCGCTCCTGCTGTGAGTGGCAATCGCCTGCTCGCGATACCATGCCAGCTCAGATTTGAGCTAGTGGCAGGGCAGGAAGCAGCGAAGAAGGCAGGTGGGACTAGTAAGAACACCTCGAACGCTATCTCCTTGTCTACGATGTAGTGTAGACAAGTATATGGTAGTAGAATCGTGTAAGGGTAAGAGCCTAGAGACTAATTTTGTTGATATATGCCTACCAGGCAAAACCTACCTGGAAGGTATACACAACCCTAGACATAATACGTGTGCAGCTCTGAGGTTCCTTTGCATCGCATCAAGGCGAGACCGAACTAGTTATAACCTTTCCGATATGTGCCTCAGAGGCGGATCGTGACCTGGAAGTAGACATTACATTCAACATGATAATCGACGAAGTTCAGCGTTATGTATGCCTCAAGAATCTGATTTCGTAAAGATACCTCACAAGATAAGGTTGTGTTCATACCGATGAATTTCCCTTCATTACTGAGCTACTCTCCCTCCATGACAAATACCAAGCGGTCATCACCAGTTAGGCGTACTTTCCCCTCCCGACAACTCCAAACTCCACGCTAATACAAGGGCAAACCGCTCCCTGGGCGAGAAAACAGTGCCTCACCGGCCAAATTGAGTGAAAGTAGATAAATTAGAGAAAGTCAATCTCATCATGCTGAGCAAGATCATGTGGGCCTGCTACACTCCAAACTCGTTACCAAAGTTGCCATTGCCGTACGACGTCGTCCAATCAGGCTGAGTGTCCAATAACCAGGAGACTGAATCGAACATTTCGAAGCTATTCGCACTGGCCATGCCATTGGGCATTTGCAATGGCATACTTAGCGTGTTGATGTGTGGGTTGAAATTGGGCAAGGTATGAGCCGGGTTTTCCACGGCGCCAGGAGGTGGTGTAGAATTACTGGAGGAGTCCGGATTCGTGGGGTTTGTCATGACCGTGTTTTCGAGCTGTTCCGCAGCTCCACTAACCTGCGCTTCTCGCCAGCGGAACGCGCAGTCAAAGACCACACTCATGCTCATCCGACTACGGATGATTAGGCCGAGAGGGTCATCTAGCATCCCAGTGCTTGGTCGCCTCTGGTTCTGCTGCTGTTGATGCTGTTGCTGATTGTGCTGATTGAACATGGTGCTCATGCCTGAGTTACTAAGAGACGGCGACTGAGAGAGGCTGTGTAGGCTGCGGCCGCGGGAACTCTCTTTCCACAACTGTGCCAGAACCTCGGCGAATCGATCCAAGAGATCGTTCGACCATACTTTGGATTTCCTCAGCGCATCCACAGTCTGTAGAACAAATTGTCGACCTTTGTTCGCGGGAAGCTTGCTGGCAAAGTCTGAGTTGAGGAGCTTGAGCAAGGCGAAACCGGCTGCAAGAGCCATCTGCATGACGTAGTAGGGAACGTAAGGCAGCCTGCCCTCGTGTTGTATCTTAAAGACACGCTCCAGATAGGCCGTCGCGGCGAAGTACAGCGCGACAAGGTCGTCCCGCCGTTCAAGCCGTATCTCCGGGCTGAAGAACGAGTACAGATGCAAATGTAAGGAGACGGCGTAGTGGTACAGTTCTTCCAGGCCTGTTTGAAGTCAGAGAAGTCCCCATGAATGAGGGTGTCATATATACCGCTGTCCACCCCGTCCAGGGAGCTGTTTTCTTCCTTCACACGCTCTTCCTTGAGACGATCTGCTTCCAGACTCATGTAGCTTGTGGCGGCGCCTTCGGCGAAGCGATGGCTGTTGGCGGAGTACAGGAGCTTGTTGATCCTGCTCGCAGCCATTTCCTGGCGAAGGCGGACGAACAGTGTGGGTGGTATAATGCGCATGTGCTCTTCGTCGTCTACTTTGAAGTCGAGTGTCGAATCGTAAAGGGTTATCGAGGGCTGTCCGTTTCCTGTTGACACACTGCAATACGTTAGCTTTGGCAGTATGCTTTGATGGTACAAACTCACGTTTGCGCAACGATGTTGCAGACGGCCCACGTCCTCAGCCGATCGTGTATATCCTCCCGTCGCAGCTGCATTTTCGTTCTGGAGAAGTCATCCGGGTGCGTCGGCTGATGCAGACCAATCTGCATGGCAACCTGCATCATAGCGCCACACAGTATGAAAGTCGGGTCGGTCACTGTCCGCTCTGCTGGGAGTGGCCAGGTACAGAGCAGACACAAGGCCTTGACTACATGGTGGTTCGGCTGATTTCGAATAGAGTCCCAGATGAGATCGCTCAGCGGCTTGGAGAGATCCTTCAGCAGAACCGGCCGTGGTCCATAACGGCGTGCGGCAACCGCGATAATAGCCCAGAACAGCAGCTTGTGGTCCTGCGAGTAGTACTCCTCAGGCGAACGCACTTGATCTAAGAATGGCAGGAATGGGTGGTATAGCTGAAAGTATTCGGCGAACAGCTCGTTGACCTCACTGTGGCCCAGTCGCACTTCGCCGGCACCCAGCGAGAAGAACATGGGCGATCCGCTGCGCAAGTCGAGCAGAGACGTTGCCGCCACTTGTGTATGTTGTGTCTGTAGGAAGGCGTCGTCCTCCATCTTGGGGACTGGGCCGGGAGTGAACGTGTGGTTGTCTGACGTCTGCTGCGGAGCATTCAGAACAGGCTGGTTCGGCGTGGACTGGCCTTCGTACATGGCGAGTCGCTCTCGCAAGTATTCCATCTCCTTCTCCATCTCGGCATTCCTATTACGCTTGCCGACACGCTTGAAGTTGGGCTCGATTACGCATCGCAGGTTCTGTTTCTGGCATCGCGCACAGCTGACGAAGGGATCTTGCTGGACGTTACACTTGAGCTGCAATGGCACCGTTAGCGGGATTATGAAACATTGACATCGGACAGCTTGACGTTGGTGGTTGCAGGGCGTATACAGGCGCGGAGTATCGTAAACAGTCACACGCATTGATCTCAGTGGCGCGCACGCGGGCGCCCGGGCTTGAGATTGAGGTTCTCCATGGGCGCATGGACGGCATGTAGAAAAAAAGAACTTACCTTCTGCTGGCGACACTCGTTGCAGGCGCGCTTCACCGCGGTATTGCGCCGCGACGACGACGAGGGCCGCGTATCACCGTCGCCATTCTCATCATCGTCGCTGCTAGCCGAGCGCTTGAATCCTCTGGTGTGGGTGCTGTTGGGGCTCTGGAACGGATGCGGCAGTCCATTTAGTCCGGGCGTCGTTGGTGACATGGAATGCAGCATATTGCTCGACATATGCGACCGATATCGCAGGGAATTTAGGTTGTGAGGGTAGGTAGAAGTGGGGGTCCAGCTGAGGGAGTCCGAGGCCGCAAGCGCGTGCGAAACTTGACCGGCTGCCAGGCCACGACTCTGACTCCAATGCCGTGGGAGACTCACTCGATCATGCGCGCCTGACTGCTATCACAAGCTGCAAGCTCCTGCAGGAAGCCGCCGAACTGTGGGCTCTCAGACGCGGGCGAGCTTGTCAGAATTGGTTCTGACTCTCCAATCATAGCCTGCGACCACCCATGCTGAATCGCGGCAAGCCTCGTTCTGGCAATCTCCACCGTAACTATCCGGGCCCTACGCCTACGCGTTATGAACCGGTTTCTTGGACTTTTCGCGTTTTGGCTGGGTATTCCAGGACTAGCCCTGGTGCGCTGAAGATTCTCGATGTCGCATGCGTAGGAGCGTGAGAGCGCGCGAAACAGGACCATCAAAGTCTGAGGTCATTCACGCTTGCATTATTGTCATCGGACGTGTTGGCAGAAGGTTAGTGCATGCATCGTCAACATGTGGGATGAAAGAATGAGAATGGGAACACTGGTTCTTCGCGTCACAACCTTCAACGGAAAAGCTGAACACACTAGACCCTACATTAACTTTAGGTCACCTACTTTGCATGCTCTTATGTCAATATAGGCTGCAGACCTGTTGATTTATTCTTTCTATAAGGTGCCGTCACAACTTCAATCTTTAGATCAGGTTGCAAAGTGTCAGATTTCCAAGTCGTACTGCTGTGATTTCCCATCCGAAGAGGTGATTTCATGAGGACCAGTGGTAAAGTGTAAGTTCAGGGCATGCTTTCACTATCATGACGCAGGTTACATGTACATTCAGGCAGGCCTGGGTTGAACATGGTGGTGTGAATTGTTGGCGTTGCCTTGGCCGCTGTTGAACCTCGCGCACAGGTCAAAGGATTTTGGACACCCATACTAGCATTCGAGACCGGAAAAGCATGCAAGCCACCAAGCCCTCATCATACTGTCACACTGCAGTCTGTCGGCAAACATAGCGTGTAGCTTGTGGATGTATTCGTGACCCTACTCAGCTACATCCTGGCGGAGTGACGTACAAATCGTCTTGATATCGTAAAAGCCGACCGAACCAGGAGACTGCCCATAATGCACATGAACACCGAAGACCCAGTTTTGACATGCTAAACCCCTTGACACTCAATGCAACCGCTTAACGCTTCTTTTGCTGGGACTCCTTGAGGACCTTCTTGACGACCTTCTGCTCCTCGATCAGGAAAGCACGGACGATGCGGTCCTGGACGCAGCCGGCGCATCGCGATCCACCGTAGGCGCGCTGGACGGTCTTCTTGGGGCGGGAGATCTGGGCGTACTCGCGGGGGCGGAGGGCGGGGATACCCTGGAGCTTGGTACCGCAGTCCTACAAACTGTCAACAACAAGGCTTTGTATCCTTCCGAGTCTGACTTACACCGCACTTGGGGGCAGTACCCCTCTTCTTGATGTGCAGGTAACGGAGTTCACCACCGGGGGTCTTGATGACGCGGACCTTCTGGCTCCTGGTGTTGTAGGGCGCGCGACGCCTCTGCCCAATGTC